GCAGTAGAGTGCGTCCAACACTGCTGTGTGGGCCAGACTTGGAGAAGCATAGAATGTGCTACAGGGAGGAGCACTAATATTTATTGAGTGCCAGCTGTATGCCAAGCATCCTTGAGATGGTTTGCATAAATTATGTTATTAAATGCTCACACACACATGCAAAAAAAAAAAAAAAAAAAAACCCACGATGGAAGGAGGCGCGATTCAATTTACACAAAATTCTTTGCAAATATTACCTTACTGTCTCAGCCAGTCTTCCCAAACAGCTCTGTGGGATAGGACTGTTTCTGTTCCCATTTCACAGATGAGGAAACTGGCTCAGAGAGGTGAAGCACCTTCTCACTAAGAGCCCTGTGCTGGGGAGTCCCAGACCTGGGATCCAAACCCGGGTCCGCCTTCTTCCGATTGACCTACAGGTTTCTGAGCACCTAGTGTGTGCGGTTCTTTGAGAAACTCTTCATGCGGCCAAGCTGTTCTTGAAAATCTTGAGACCACTTTTCTCACTTCTCGCCGCAGGTTTCCAAAAAATGTGCTGACCCTAGAGGAGGAGGAGGGCTGCAGCTTGCATTGAATCAGACCCCTAAACAATGACACAAATAGGGAATAGGAATAATAATGATAATGACTTTCCAGAAAGCAGTTATAAGGTACCAGGCACTGTTTTAAGCGCTTCTTCTGTATTAACTCATTTATTCCTTCAGCGAATTGTGTTACAGTTGTGACACTTGTGACAACAGTCATGGTGCTTAATGTAACTAGGCCCTGTTCTGGGTGTTTTACAAACATTAACTCATTTCAACCTCACGCTGCAGAGGAAACTGAGGCACAGGGAGTTTCAGCGACTTTTCCAAGGTTCACAGTTAAAAATGGCAGAGGCAGGATTTAAACCCAGGCAATCTGGGCTCTTAACTCCTCTGTTCCACACCCTCCCTCTTCTAAGCATGTTGAGAAGGTCCCCAACCTTAGAATCACAATGCTTCAAGGAGGCACAGAGGTGGTTGATTCGGTCACAATGCCCAGCCCCAAGCACGGGATTTTTATGGTCCTAGAATGGTAGGTTAACACCCTAGAGTGAAACATGCAGCGTCCATACAAGGGTTGAACTTGAACTGCCAAGTTGGCCCAGAGGAAGGAGTTTTGAACTCCCCTCTCTCTAGCCAGGAAAGGAAGGAAGGAGGGTGCAACACAGGGTTCCTTGCCCAGTGGAAATAGCCCTTCATTCATCATCAACGGGCTTCCTGCTTCTGCCCCCGCCCATTTAAACTGCTCTGTGGTTCTTTCCGGAGGAGCCCATGACTTGCCCCCGAGAGCCTGGGCGAGGCAAGGAGGTATCTCTAAGAACATGCAGGTCGATTGTCTCATGGCACTTCCTTCCGCCTGCAACAGAAACTACCCGTTTGCCCGCAGATACTCATCAGGTTGTGCCCCTCTGATACTTGTGGTTAGGGTTGCCTCCTCCCCCTACTGGAAGCCAGAGATGTTGAGAAGAGGGAGATAGGGAGGGTGGATGGGTGTCACCTTGACCCGCTCAACACTGGAGTGAGCAGGGAGACTGGTATTATTAGTATCAGGGCCTGGGAGCCCAGACAGCCAGCCAGGTGGGGAAGGAGGGCAAATAAGGGCATTTCCGAAGTCTCTTTGGGAGGAAGATCTCCCCTTTCTGGGCCCTCTTTGGGCAGTGAAATGGGTCTGTTCTGTCTCTGGCCCGGTTTGTCGCAGCCAGACGACTGCTGGCTTATCTGGGTATCTAATCCAGGCTAATGTGTCTGTGGATTCTAATGACGAGCGTTTCTCCTCCCAGGGAATCCTTTGCTGTAATCCTTGGCCAGGAGAAACACTGGTTAAGCCCAAAGGAGTCAAGCTGATGGGGTGGAGAGGTTGATGCAGGGGTCCTTTCCCCAAGGGGCGTGGCCACTGTAACTGTGATCATAACAGTGAGGAAGGTGAGCAGGATCTCTCTTCGTTGAAAGTTTGCCTTACACCAGACCCCGTAGAAGTAGGAGGAAGACGTGATCTCATGAATTCCTACAAGGTGCCGCAGCTCAGTCTCCTCTGTTTTACTGATTACAAATAACAACAACTAAGGCAAGAAGTTGGATGGAAGTTGAACAGCTAAGAAGTGGCCAGTTATAGGAATTGAAGGTTGGTGGTGACTTCACATACTGTGTTCTTTTTTTTTTTTTTAATTTTTTTTTTCAACATTTATTTATTTTTGGGACAGAGAGAGACAGAGCATGAACGGGGGAGGGGCAGAGAGAGAGGGAGACACAGAATCAGAAACAGGCTCCAGGCTCTGAGCCGTCAGCCCAGAGCCCGACGCGGGGCTCGAACTCACGGACCGCGAGATCGTGACCTGGCTGAAGTCGGACGCTTAACCGACTGCGCCACCCAGGCGCCCCTCACATACTGTGTTCTTAATCTCTGTCCCCAGTTGAGTAAGTCCCTTGTCCCTCCCTCTCTCCTCTCACATCTGTTGATTCACAAGTGCACCTGTGCTTACATCCATCTGTGCATGCATTCATCCATCCATCCATCCATCCATCCATCTATGCATTTATGCATCCATCTGTCTATCCTCCATCCATCCATCCATCCATCCATCCTCCACTCCAACAGTGAGAGCATGGCAGGCCCTCTGCCCAGCACTGCCACGACCTTTATGAACAGGACAGATGTACTCCCTGCCCTTGGGAGGATCACTGCAGTGAGCTTCCATCAGGTGAAGGGTGGCGCCGTTGCCGATACTCAGGCTATCAACAGAGAGGTTCCTTTCGCATCCTAGCCTGATTCACTGCTGGTTTCACTTCCCCAGAGTGGCCTCTTGGACACAAGAAGAAGGTTTCGTCTGGACAGGTTGGGGGTCAGGAATGGTGTGATTCAGGGGCCTGGAAGCCCTCAAGTCTCCCACCAATGCCCCAAACTGCCTAGCATGAGGTCTGCACTGCTCCACTCATGGGGCTCAAGCTCTTCGTATTGCTTAATAAGGAGCCTGGAGATTAGCAGTGAGCTGCCTGAAGGTTGCAAGGGGAGCAGGTGGTCAGAGGCTGTGGGGCCTGGGAGGCGTGTCCTGTGATGTCTGCGGGCCAGAGGGAGCGCTCTGACATTTGGAGTTCGTAGCATCTGAACTCCGCCATTCATATCTGTGGGACTCAGATGTGTTACTTCAGCTCTCAGGGGCCCAGTTTTCTCGTGTGCCGTGCACGAACCATGAAGGCACCTACCTGGGAGGGCCTGGTGATGAGGCACAACTCTGGCCCATGGTCAGTGCTCCCGTGTTCCTTCCTGATCTGTGCCCTTTGGGTAGGTTTTGTTTGGCCACACAGTATATTAAAATAAAAAGGCACTGAAGTTTGAGGATTAAGATATGCTATAAAACGATACGGATTATTGGAATTCCTTTAAAAAGTCACAAGATCTGGCAGCGCGGGGTCCACATTCTTGCTTGTTTTTCAACTGGCCGGGCTGTGGAGGGACTGTTTCTGAGACCCTCCAGATTCCTGAGACCACCCCCACCCCCAAGATCTTTTCTTTCCCCTCTTGTATCTGACTGGCCCCTTTAGGCTGTTGAATTTGCAGCCTCTCTCTGGAAGATGTCCCTGTTAAAAATAAGTGCCTGTGGTCACCTGTCAATTATCCCCATGCAGTTTATTCACAGCACTTATTTACCTGACTGCTTTTGCTTGCCTTGGGCATGATGGAGGTTTTCTTCCCTTTCTTGCAGTGGGTGAATACTCAGAAGATGCAAATTCTTACAAGGATTAGGCCATTGTGAAGGCAGCAGTCCTCGACATTCTACAAGTCTGGTAAACCAGCATGCAGAGAACGTGCCGTTTTGAATGGCCTGCCTTCCCCGCACAGCCTCGCCCCACAATAGCATGTATCGGGGTGTTGAGGGTTTCCTGAGAGCTGGGCACGGCAGGTGGAAGAGTGGAAGGTTCTACTGGAGCACCTTGGCTTGGATTCCAACACTGTCAGGGACCAACTGTTACTTCTGTCTTTTTTTGTGTGCCTTTTTGGCTCTTCTGTCAGATGATTAAGCCCACTGCCCACCCTGGGTTGGGAGGACCTAGTTCGATGAATAGATGAGAATGTGCTTGGTAATCCCTAGGGAACCAGGAACCAGTGAATGAGGGAAATCACTAGAGACTTCCCACCCACCCATCAGTGTGCACGTTAATTCACCAGGTCACTTGAGTTGCCGTGTGCAGGGCACTGTGCAGAGCACGTGGGGAAGACAGACGGGCCTCCACCCTTCATGGACTTGATGGTCGTGGGGCAGAGTGACCCCTAGAGAAACAGAAACCAGAAAAAATTTAAAAATCAAATTGTTACAGGGGCACCTGGGTGGCTCAGTTGATTAAGCGTCCGACTTTGGCTCTGACCTGTTCTGATCATGACTTTTGTCATGATCTCACAGTTCCCGAGTTCAGGGCCCCGCGTCGGGCTCTGTGCCGACAGCAGCCTGAAGCCTGCTTCAGATTCTGTGTCTGCTTCTCTCTCTGCTTCTTCCCTGCTTGCACCCTGTCTTTCTCTCTCTCAAAAAAAAAAAAAAAAAAAAAAA